CCCTGAACACCACAAACTGGAGGTCTTTTAAGAATCACCAAACCATCAACACATCGATAATAAGAGAATAATAATACAATAAACAAAAAATAAATATTGATTTATACAACAACCTGCTGCTATTACATAGGAATTTGTTAGTAGAATTAGAAAAATAGAGAACCAAAAAAAAAATAAAAATGGGTAACATTTATATACATTTTGCTTCTCAGCATCCTTTCTAAACAATGCACATCCTGTTAACATTTTAGTGGTGCTAATTAATTGTTAAGCACATGCATAGGCTCTTATATAATTTTCTGTTTGTTGACTATTTTTTAATTTCAACCTATTTTGTTATTATTATATTTTTAGAACATTGAAAAGAGGTTCATGATTGGATTTCAATCATACAGTATTCCAACAGCTTTCCCTCCACCAGTGGACATTTCTCAGTACCAGTGTCCCCAGATTCCCTCCCATCACCCCCTACCCCTCACCCCTTGCCTGCCTCTGGCAGGGGCTTTTCTTCTCTCTCTCTCTCTCTCTCTCTCTCTCTCTCTCTCTCTCTCTCTGTCTATCCTTTAGGGCATTGTGGCTTGCATTATTAATACTGAAAGGTTATCAAGAATATCCTTTAAACCAGGCAGAAGGAAAGAGATCATAAAACTTAGAGCAGAAATCAATGACATGGAAACCAAAGAAACAATCTGAAAGATCAATGAAACCAAGAGCTGGTTCTTCGAGAGAATAAACAAGATAGATAAACCACTCGCAACACTCACAAAGAAACAGAGAGAGAGAGAACCCTAATAAACCGAATCAGAAATGAGAAGGGGGATATCACAACAGAAACCAAAGAAATCCAAAAGATCATTAGAGACTATTTTGAAAGTCTGTATGCCATGAAACAAGAGAACCTAGAAGAAATGGACAAATTCCTGGATTCCTATAATCTCCCAAATCTGAATCAAGAAGACCTGGAGTATCTGAATAGACCTATTAACATCAACGAAATAGAAACTGCAATCAAAAGTCTTCCCAAAAACAAAAGCCTGGGCCCAGATGGATTCACTAGCGAATTTTTACAAACATTTAAAGAGGACCTGCTGCCAGTCCTTCTCAAGCTCTTTCAGGAAATTGAAAAAACAGAAACTCTCCCAAACAGTTTCTATGAAGCCCATATCTCTCTAATACCAAAAGGAAACAAAGATACCACGAGAAAAGAAAACTACAGGCCGATATCACTGATGAACAAGGATGCGAAGATTCTCAACAAAATACTAGCAAATAGAATTCAACTACTCATCAAAAAGATCATACACCATGACCAAGTAGGATTCATCCCGGAGATGCAAGGCTGGTTTAACACTCGGAAATCAATCAACATAATCCACCATATCAACAAAAGAAAAGATAAAAATCATATGATTATATCAACAGATGCAGAGAAAGCATTTGACAAGATCCAGCACCCATTTATGATGAAAACCCTAGCCAAAATGGGGATAGAGGGGACTTTTCTCAATATAGTTAAAGCCATCTACCACAAGCCTACAGCAAGCATCGTCCTCAATGGCGAAAAACTGAGAGCCTTCCCTCTAAGATCAGGGATGAGACAAGGATGTCCACTCTCCCCACTGCTGTTCAATATAGTACTGGAAGTACTTGCAATGGCGATTAGGCAAGAAAAAGATATTATGGGAATCCAGGTAGGAAAGGAAGAAATCAAGCTCTCACTATTCGCAGATGATATGATACTATACTTAGAAAATCCTAAAACCTCTATCAAGAAACTTCTAGAAACAATAGGCTTGTATAGTAAAGTGGCAGGCTATAAAATCAATACCCAAAAGTCCATGGCTTTCCTATATGCAAATAGTGAAAGAGAAGAAAGAGACATGAAGAAAACAATCCCATTCACAATTGTGCCCCAGAAAATCAAGTACCTAGAAATCACCTTAACTAAGGAAGTAAAGGACCTGTAAAAGAAAACTACAAAACTCTACTTTAGGAAATAAAAGAGGATATGAGGAAATGGAAAAATATCCCCTGTTCATGGATCAGGAGAATTAATATTGTCAAAATGGCAATACTTCCCAAAGCACTGTATAAATTCAACGCAATTCCTGTTAGGATACCCATGACATTCTTCAAAGAATTGGAGCAAACACTCCTGAAATTTATATGGAACAATAAGCCCCCACGAATAGCTAAAGCAATTCTTGGGAAAAAGAAAATGGGAGGAATCAACCTCCCTAACTTCAAACTCTACTACAAGGCAGTAATAATTAAAACAGCATGGTACTGGAACAAAGGCAGAGCTGTAGACCAATGGAACAGGGTTGAATATACTGACGTCCCCCCAACCCCCGCAGCATATGAGCATCTAATCTTCGATAAAGGGGCAAGAAAAGTGAAGTGGAGTAGGGAAAGCCTTTTTAACAAATTATGCTGGCAAAACTGGACGGCTACATGCAAAAAAATGGGCTCAGATCTCTGCCTAACTTCATGTACAAAAGTAAGATCTAAGTGGATTAAAGACCTCAACATCAGACCGGAATCTGTAAGATACATCGAGGAAAATGTTGGCAAAACCCTTCATGACATAGAAGCTAATGGTGTCTTCAAAGATGTCACACCGCTGGCCAAGCAAGTGAAAACAGAGATAGACAAATGGGACTATCTTAAACTAAGAAGCTTCTGCACCTCCAAAGAAACAGTGACCAAAATACAAAGACAATCTACAGAATGGGAAAGGATATTCGCCAACTACATATCTGATAAGGGGTTAATTTCAAGGATATACAAAGTACTGGTTCAACTCCACAAAAAGAAAATATTCAATCCCACCAAAAAATGGGGAGATGAAATGAATAGAAACTTTGACAAAGAAGAAATCCGAATGGCTAAAAGACACATGAGAAAATGTTCCACATCATTAATCACCAGGGAGATGCAGATCAAAACCACAATGAGATATCATTTCACACCACAGAGACTGACCCACATCCACAAGAACAAAAGCAACCGGTGCTGGCGCAGATGTGGTGAAAAAGGGACACTCCTTCACCGTTGGTGGGAATGCCGACTGGTTCAACCCTTTTGGAAAACAGTATGGACGATTCTCAAAAAATTAGAAATTGAGCTCCCATTTGACCCAGCAATAGCACTCCTGGGAATATATCCCAGAGAGGCAAAAAAGTATAGCTGAAGTGACAGCTGCAACTGTCTGTTTATTGCAGCACTCTTTACAATAGCCAGAATCTGGAAAAAACCTGAGTGCCTGAGAACAGATGACTGGTTAAAGAAACTCTGGTACATTTACACAATGGAGTACTATGTCACCGTTAGAAAAGATGAAGTCATGAAATTTACATACAAGTGGTACTACGTGGAAAGTACCATGTTTAGTAAAATGACTCAGAAAGAAAGGGATAGACATAGAAAGATTGCATTCATCTGGGGAACATAAAGTAACAAAATAGGAAACTAACACCCAAGAATGGCAGAGATTAGTACCAGGAATTTTACTCAATGACATGGAGGCCAACCACACATGTTAGGGGAAAAGGGAGCTCAGAAAGAGAAGGGAACACCAAACAAAGGGTGTTGAGAGGATCCTCCCAGGATGGGAGAAGCATGCTGAAAGTAGACTATGGACCAAACATGATTGCCACTCAATGCCTCTTTTGCAAACCACAGCACTCAAAAGGAGAGAGAGAGGGAAATTCCCTGCCACAGAGACAGGGTGGGATGGGGGCTGGGGGCTGGGAGGGATACTGGGATCCGAGGTGGTGGGAAATGCGCACTGGTGGAGGGATGGGTGTTTGATCATTGTATAATTGAAACCCAAACACAAAAATGTGTAAGTCTGGAAAAAAATAAAATGTTTTTTTGTGGAAAAAAAAGTAGGTAAAAGGAATATTCTTAAACAAACAAACAAACAAAAGAATATCCTTGCCTACTTTTAACTCTCAGATCTTGTCCAGCGTGATCATTTCCAGCTACTGTTGTTATAGCAATCTCTTTTCTATCTTACCTACCCTCAGCCTCACACACACTTGTGGTTAGTTTCAATCACTGACCAGTCCTTATGTTGGCTTACTTTTTGAATTTTGGGTCACACCTGGGTTTGTTCAAGGTTTACTCCTGGTTCTGTGCTCAGGGATCACTCCTGGCAGTACTTGGAGTAACATATGTGATGCTTAAGGATTGAACCCTTCAACCTGCATTGGACACTTACAAGGCAAACATTCTTCCCACTGTGCTCTCTCTCCAGCGCCATATATAATATTTTTAAAGTCATTTAAATGTATCACATATATAAAACATGGTAGAAACTTCTCCCAAACTTTGGGAATAAATTTATTGCCGTAGAATAAATACAATAGCCACCTCAGAAAAAGAGCTAATAAGAACAGTAGAAAAACCATGAAGGCATCACAAAAAATTGAAATTACAAATAGCAATAGTGAAAAATACATTTAAAAACTGGTAAATTAATATTGATTTTTTATGTATTTTATAAATTAAAATCTCATTACCAAATAATCTCTTATAAAATAATCTATGAGAATTATTTATTGATCAAGTAATTACTGACCACCAAAGTGAAGTTTTATAAGATATAAAACTTGTCAGAACTATAAGAACACACTAAATCTTAGTTATGTGAATGATAAAAATTTGTGTAAATGCTATAAAACATCATTTAAAATTGATCATAATTTAAGTATAGTTTTTGCCATATTAACCCTGAGAAAATATTTGGGGGGAGATTTTGGGCCCTACCTGTAGGTGCTCAGGGGTTACTCCTGACTCTGTACTCAAGGCTTGCTCCAGGTGGTGCTCAAGGGGTTGTTCCTGGTGGTGCTCAGGGGACCATATGCTGTGCCAGGGATAGAACCAGGTTGACTACATCAAGGCAAGCACCTTATATCCTGTACTATCTCCCTGGCCCCAAGAAATTTTTCTTTTTTACCATAACAAAAAAATCAATTATAAAATTGTTAATTTACCTGGATCTTCTATAGTCAAGTTCTTTATTAACCACTGAACAATGTCTGAGCCTAGAGAAAGAAAAAAGAAATGTATATGTTACATTTAAGAACTCATAATTCTTGGTACTCATGTTAGTGGAAATGCTTCTCACTATTACAATAATGTATCAACTATACATGGAATATTAAAAAAAAACACTGTATTTACATAATTCTTTTAGGAGAAAGCAAGATACAAACCAGTAAATTATTAAATATGAACACTTAGACTTTAAGTTTTAAACATCCGTATTTAATAAGTTACTAGTTATGTTTGAATGCTTTTCTCATTTATTCAGTGAATTTATTGAGTGTCCAGTGTACTTCCAACACAATCCCTAATAAGATGTAACCAATACTTCAAAAGATGATCCCTGTTTCATTTCACTCCTTGTTTTCACTCCTTCCTTATTTCTCAAGTTAAGTTGAACTTGCTCTAAGTTTCAAGCCTTTGTCTTTATTTCTTTATCCTACTATTTTTTTAGACTTTAATATTTATTGTCTTTGAACTATACTTTCATTATTCGCAGGGCACTGACAACTCATTTACACAACTGTCTCACCTAAGTCTCACCTGTGTCCATTGAGTTTATAGAAGCACTGTCTACCAAACCTCACTGAAGTCAGTAATTCTTTATTGGAGTGTTGATCATGCACCATTGCTGCTATTTGGTTAATAATCTTGAATCATGGTACTCAGAATATATGTTCTCATTTTTCCTATTTTATCTCCATCATACAAAGCTGCTAAAGGAATCTATGTCAGGGTTGAAAGATGAAAAGGAGTAAATAAAAATCATTTACTCCACAATACCTACATAGTGTATGTTGCAAACAATAGAAACTTAAAACTAATAAAACTATTCACAGAGGCTCCAGGTTCAAGAATCTTCATTTCTTGTATTCCAGGCTAAGGACTTGTGCTACTTTCTGTAATGCATGCAGGAAACAAGGCATACAATACTTTTTTGACCAAAATAATGACTTTATCAGAGAACTTTTTAAGGAATTTGGCAATTATAGGTGGGTTGACTTTGGCTACAAGAAATAAAACGGGGCAGAGAATATTTCTGCTGGTAATAATGCAGAATAGAAAAAATGTGGTTCTAAACTGGTGTAGTATAGAAAAAAATCTAAACTTGTTTTATAGCCTTGTGGTTACTCTGGCATAGGGTTGGCTAGTGAAAAGAATCAAGAGAACTTAACGTTTCCAGCCTACACATATCTTGTATGAAATGATGATGAAATATTAAAAATAGGTGATTTAGAGAAAGCTGTTTACTTTTCATTTTTATTTAAATTTACTTCCAGGATTTTCATTTATATATTACATTAAAAATAACGTGTAAGTAAGTAGTTATGCATGTTTCATAAACATAATTTCATAAATTCAAAAATATGTGAATATTTATTTGTAAAATATAATATTTATAAAAACATAAACATATTTCATAAACATAAAATTTCATAAATTCATAAGTTTCATCAATGAAATTTTATATGAACTGAGGATGCATTTTACCTCTCAAAGAATGGTTATAGTTGCTGCCTATATATCTCAAAGATCTGTAAAGTGAATCACATTACCAATACCTATTTATAGTTAAATAAAATAATAGAACAGTCTAACAATAATTTAGTCACAAACTTGATGAGCACATTTGCCAAAAATATTGTCTTTGAAATATACTTAAAAATATGAAACCTATCTTAAGAAATATACATTTAAAATATGGTAAAATGTTTAATATAACAAATGTTTGCTCTCAAACTATTTATTTTACAATTATTGCTGATTAAAATGCATTTAACATAGGGTATTCATTATTGTATCTTTTGGCTATTTGAATTAATTCTTTAAGTAAGTTTCTGTTCATCTCCTCCCCATTTTTTGATGGGATTGGATTTTTTTCCTTGTAATGTTCTACCAGTACTTTATATATCTTAGATATTGACCATTTGTTATTGGATGAGTGGTGGACAAAACAGTTCTCCCATTCCATGGGCTGTCTTTGTGTTCTGGTTTTTATTTCCATTGAGATGCAGAAGCTTCCTAATTTAATGTAGTACCATTGTTTATGTTTGCTTCCATTGCCTGGTCAGTGGTGTTTCATCTTTTTCTCTAGTTTAACCACCATGGAGAGCTATTCTTATGTCTTCCTCTATGTACTTGACGGATTCAGGTCCAATATTGAGGACTTTAATTCATTTTGATTTAACTTTTGTGCAAGGAGCCAAAAAATGATCTAAGTTCATTTTTTTTTGGCATGCAGTCAGTTTTTCCAGGACCACTTGTTGAAGAGATTTTCCTTGCTCCACTTCATAATTTTTGCTCCTGTATCAAAGATTAACTAACTGATCATATACTAGAGAGTCAATCTCAGGACATTAAACTCCATTTCATTGACCTGAGGATCTGTTGCTATTCCAATATCATGCGGTTTTAATTATTTCCACTTTGTGGTACAGTTTGAAATTGGATAAAGGGATGCCTCCCATATTCTTTCCAAGGTTCGTTTTAGCTATTCTGGGGATTGTGGGGAAAAGGACTAATTGTTCCATATGAATTTCAGGACTCTTATGTCTATTCCTTTGAAAATTGTCATGGGTATCCTTATAGGGACTGCATTGAATCTGTACAATGTTTTAAAGAGTATTGCCATTTTGTCACTGTCCTCCCGTTGTTCATCAATTTGCTCAAGCGGGCCCAGTAACATCTCCATTGGAGACTTTTGTTGTTACTGTGTTTAGCATATTGAATAAATCACGGGTAGCTTGCCAGGCTCTGCCGTGCGGGCGAGATACTCTCGGTAGCTTGCCGGGCTCTCCAAGAGGGGCGGAGGAATCAAACTCGGGTGGCCATGTTGGCTGCGTGGAAAGCAAACGCCCTACCACTGTGCTATCGCTCCAGTCCGTTTTAATAATGTTAAAATTGCCATCTTAATAATTTTAATCCACTCAATCCATGAACATAGCGGTATGTTTCCCTTTCCTTGCATCATCTTTAATTTATTGAAGTAGTATTTTTCAGTTTATTTGTATAGGTTTTAGTTGTTAAGTCTGAGATATTTAATTTTCTGAGGCACAAATGGATGTTATTTAAGTTTCTCTCACTTTTATTTCATTTTTTGGATATAAAAAAACCAGGGATTTTTGCATTTTAATTTTGTTTGCTGTCATTCTACTGTACAAATCTATTGTTTGTAGGAACTTTCTGGGCTAGAATTTGCAGGGTTTTATAAAGATGTTTTTATATATGCAAATAGTTTTATCTTGATTTCTTCATTTCCTCTGTGGATGTCCTTATTATCTTTTTTTCAAGGCTAATTACTATGGAAAATGCTTCCAGTACTATATTGAATAGAATTGGTGAGAGTGGCAACCTTTTCTCATGCCTAATCTAAGAGAGAAGTTTTTTAGTTATTTACCACTGAATATAAATATTTGCTGTGGGTTTATGACAAATGACTTTGATTCAATTCCCAAAGTTTTTATCATTATAGATGCTGAATCTTGTTAAATGCTTATTCTGCAAAAATTTGTATGATCATATAATTTTTTATATTTTCTTGTAGAAAAAAAGGCTAAACATAAATGAAATGCAAATCAAAACAACAATGATATATCACAACAAAGAGACTTTCACTCATCTTGAAGAATAACAAAAATACAGTATGGTCTTGAAGGTGGGGGAGAGGGACCTTCATTCTCTGCTGGTTATAATGGTCCACCCATTTTGGAAAACAAAATTAACATTCCTCAAAAAAATAGGATTTGATGATCCAGCAATTTGGCTCCTAGTAATATACCTTTGTGACCCCAAAACACAGTGCCTGAAAAGCATCTAAACTCCTATGTTCATTGCAGCAGTATTAATAATGCCCCAAATCTGGAAACAACACAAGTGCTCAAGAATAAATGAGTGGATAAAGAAGCAATAGTATATCTACACAATGGAGTATATGCAGTCATTAGGAAAAATGAACTCATGAAATTTGGTAATACGTGGATGGACATGACGAGTATTATGCTGAGTGAAATGAGTCAGGAGAGGGACAAACGCAGAATGATCACACTCATTTTTGATATATAAAGAAAAATGACAGAATAATGATCATTGAAGAGTAATATCTCCCCCCAAATAGAAATAAAGGCCAAAAGAACTGGTTCTTAGTAGGAAGACTGCCACAATGGTTAGGTTTGAGATAACACCACTATAGCAATATAGTGGGAAATATCTGGAAAAGATACTTTTAGTGGGAAGTCTCTGGTAAAAGAAATGGGTGATGAGAGGAAGTAAAGAGATATGCATGATATTCTTTTAGTAACATTATTTCAAACAACAATGACTAAAAGGAAAACAGAAATTAAAAGTGTCTGGCGGGGGCAGGAGGTAAACTGGGGACATTGGTGGATACGGATAAAGGGATGAGTGCTTGAACATTGTATAAAGAAATAATCATGAAAAATTTGAATTTTTTTTATACCTCATGGTAGTTCAATAAGTTTTTAACAATGTTTTTATTTTTTTTTTATAGTTTCTTTATTGAATCACTGTGGGAAAAGTTACAGAGCTTTCGGGTTTAGGTCTCAGTCATGTAAGTATCAAACACATTTCCCTTTACGAATACTTATTTTTAACCGTGAACCCCAATAGAACCCCACCTCCCACCCCTCCCAATTCCTGTGAGGCAGATGAGTTCTATTTAATACTCTATTTACTTTGACTAGATACATTGTTTCGATAGAAGATACACAATTATTGTTTAGAGTTTACGACCCCCCCCCAATCAGATATGCTGAAACAGTGTTGTGAAATGATTTGCTTTCTACAGCTGGGTTTAAGAATAAAATGATGGTTTTGGATTTCTGCTGTTTCACTTATTAACCCTGGAAGTATTTCTATTAAAAGTTAGATAGTTAAGAGATTGGTTTCTGTGCTCTGGAGTCGTGGCCGTGCCGGAGAGCCGCTCGTGGGGGGCAGCTGGTGACCTCGGTCGGGCGTGAAGGACGGCCCAGAACGCCCCCCT